GGAACATTCTATGAAATAACTTACCAGTATTGTTACAGTATTTCAAGATTATGAAAAACAAGGAAAGACTAAGGAACTGTCACACATTGCTTGGAGAGTAAGGAGACATGGCAACTAAGTGCAGTGTGGGATCTTGGATTGAATTCTGTAACAGAAAAAGGACCTAAGTGGAAAAACTAGTGAAATATGAATAAAGTTAATAGTTTAAGGTAATAGTCTTTTACCTTAAGTAAATTTCTTAGTTTTCTTTTTTTACTTTCATCCCTGTGACTAATTAATTTTATGATTGGAAATCTGTACCTCTTTATCCCCATCACTTATTTCACCCACCTCCAAACCCCCCTCCCCTAATGGTAACCACCAGTCCATTCTCTGTATTTAAGTCTATTTCTGTTTTACTTGTTTATTCATTTATTTTGTTTTTTTGATTCCACATGTAAGTTAAATCATATGGTATTTGTCTTTTTTCACTTCACATAATACCCTCTAGGTTCATCCATGTTGTTACAAATGGCAAAATTTCATTCATTTTCATGGCTGAGTAATATTCTATTGTGTACATGTACCACATCTTTATCCATTCACATATTGGTGGACACTTAGGTTGCTCCCATACCTTGGCTCTTGTAAATAATGCTGCAATCATTTTCTTAGTTTTGACAAATGTACCATGGTTAACATGAAGGGAAGCTGGATAAAGGTATATGGAAATTCTCTATACTACCTTTACAATTTTTTTGTAAATCTAGAATTGTTCCAATATAAAAAGTTTATTTAAAAAATATAAATAAATGGGAGAAAATATTTCCTAATCTTATATCTGATAGGAGGTCAATATCTAAAACATATAAAGAACTCATATAATACAGTAGAAAAACAACAAAATGATCCAATTAAAAAATTAGCAGAGTATTTGAACAGACATTTCTTACAAGAAGACATACAAATGGCCAACAGACACATGAAAAGGTGCTCAACATCTCTCATAATCAGGAAAATGCAAATCAAAACCACAGTGAGGTATCTCCTCACACCCGTTAGAATGGCTATAATCAAAAAGAGAAGAAATAACAAGGTTGGGAAAGATGTGGAGAAAAGGGAACTCTTTTGCATTGTTGGTGGAAATGTAAATTGGTGCAGTCACTATAGAAAACAGAATGGAGGTTTCTCAAAACATTAAAAATAAAACTACCGTATGGTCCAGCAATTCCACTTCTGGGTATTTATCCAAAGAAAATGAAAACACTAACTTGCTATATGAACCCACATGTTCACTGCAGCATCATTTACAATAGGTAAGACATGGAAGCAAACAACCTGAGTGTCCATTGATGAACGGGTAAAGAAAATGTGGTGTACACACACACACAGGAATATTAACCATAGAAAAGAAGGAAATCTTGCCAATTGTGACAACACAGATGAACTTTAGAGCATTATGCTTGTGAAATAAGACACAGAAAGACAAATACCAAATGATCTCACATATATGTAGAATCTAAAAAAACAAAAAAATGAGCGCAAAGATACAGAGAACAAAATAATGGTCACCAGAGGCAGGGAGCAGGTGAAATGTGTGAAGGGGGTCAAAGGTACAAACTTCCAGTATAAGATAAGTGCAAAGTCATGGAGATGTAATATACAGCATGGTAACTATAGTTAATAATACTGTATTGCATATTTGAAAGAATAAACCTTAAAAGTTCTCTTCACAAGAAAAAAATTTGTAACTATGTATGGTGACATGTTAACTAGACTTATTGTGGTGATCATTTCACGATATATACAAATACAGAATCATTATGTTGTGTGCCTGAACCTAATGTAATGTTGCATGTCAATAATGCCTCAAAAACAAAATGCCTAGTAGCTTCTCACCTCAGACTAGAAGCCAAAGTCTACAGTGGCCTGCAAGTCCCCACATTATCTGAGTCCTCTACTACTTCTCAAACCCCATCTACTATGTTTGAATAAGTGAATGAATGGCCTCTAAAACAAAGGAACCCAAGTGTGGTAAATCATCAGAACCATTTAGGGGACTTTAAAAAAAATGCATATTCCAGGGGTATATGTCTCAGAATTTTTTAATCCATTTTTTTGGGGGGGGAGTTAGAAATTAGTATTTTTAAAAGCACCCTAGATGGTTTTGAGGATTGGCCAGGTTTAGAAGATTCTCAAGATGGAAAACACAATGTATTCTGTCATAAAGGAGTCAAAGCTTAACTAATTGAAAGTAACTGCTACTCCTTTAACCAAAGAGGAAATTTAGAGACTCTGAGGTATAAACTATTTGAAATACAACTGTATGTGTGGGAGTGCTACTGGCATCCAGTGGGTAGAGGCTAGGGACAGTGCTAAACACCCTACAGTGTTCACAACAAAAACAAAGAACTGTCTGTCCTAAAGTGTCAACAGCACTGAGGCTGAGAAACCCTCCTTAGAATGACGATGGCCACTTTTAGATAAGGACTCAATCCACCCCACTTCTGCTGGAATATCTCCACTGACTGATCTCCACATCAATCAATGCACTATTGGGCAGCTTAAATTTTTCCCCAAATTCCAAACATTATAGAAAAGTTTAAAGAATAGTATAATCATTCATTTGCCCTTCACCTACACCTATCAAATGTTAACATTTGGACATCTTTGCTTTATCACGTGCTACACACCATCTGTGTGCACACACACACATGCTTTGTTTTTGTTTTGCTGAGCCACTTGAAAGTAGCACACACCATGATACCTCAGCATACATTTCCTACATAACCGCAATACCATCATCATACTTAAAGGACACTAGCAATAATTCCATAATAGCATCCCCAAACTCCTCCGGTTTTCCCAAAAAATGTCTTTTACAGCTTTATAGCTCAACCCATCCCAATCCAAGATCCAATCAAGGTTCATTTACTGCATTTTATTGTTTGTTTTAGTCCAGAATAGTCCCCCATCACTTTTGTTTATTTTCTAGGAATGTTTGAAGAATCCTGGCCAGTTGTCTGACAGAATGTCTTTGATTTTGGATTTGAGTCATTGTTTCCTCATGGTGTCATTTAACATGTCCCTAGATTTCCTTTCTTTCCTATAAACTAAAAGTTAAGTCTTGGCTTGATTATATTCAGGTTAAGTTTTTCTTGGCGAGAATACTTCATAGGTGATGTTGTGTATTTCTCACTGCATCACATCAGAAGAAATGCATGTTAGTCTGTCCTGCCATCAATGATGCCAAGTTTGATTGGGGTATCACCAAATCTCTCCCATAAAGGTACATTTCACCTTGAAACTAGAATGTATAAATATACTACTTCTTAGCAACTTTTACCCCAATAGTTTTGGCATACACTGATAATTTTTGCCTGAATTATTAATCAGGTGTTGGAAAATAGTGAATTCCAAAGTCTATCATTCCTTCTCCATTTATTAACTCACAGTACCCTGTAAAGAGCAGAAGAGCTTTCCTTTATTTCCTCCTCCCTACTCTTGTATTATCAGTATGATGCATGGATTTCTGTTGTTTTTAAATGAGTTCCCTTCGTTACTCTTTCTGATGCTCAAATTATCCCAAATTTGGTCAGCAGAAACTGCTTGAAGCTGGCTCCTGTGACCTTTTGACATGATCTCATTAGTCTTTGAGTACCTCCTAGGGTTATCTCTGGTTTTAGAAGTTATTTATATGTTTATTTGAAGTTCCTGTAACATCTGCCTATTGGTTTTGATTGTAGTTTTTGCAGTGAGAACATTTTACTCCTTCCATGTGGAATGTTGTTACTTAAACACAATTATTATAATGGAGATGGAGCAATTCTATGAAACCACTTACCTAACATCACATGAGTACCTAAATCATTACTTTAGACCTACTCATATGCTCACTTCATCCCTAAGCCTCACACTTTAGGATGTCCATTACACTTATTACTTGATTCAAATTCTGAAAACTGCTTAGAATTTAAAGGTTCGTTTTCAAGGTTCCATCAGAATGTTCCCATGTCAAAAGAGTTGCAACAGAGGAGCCAGGTCACAATTTTCTATGTATAATCTACAGCAGATTCCTACACTGGATTGGAGCAAGTCCTTGACACTACTAAAATAACCACAAAGGGATATGAAATACTATATTAATATGTAATGGCTGAGTCAGACCCAGCATTAGTTATTAAAATTATCCTAACAACCCTCCAACATTTTGCTACAGCTTTAGCAGTTTATTATAATTTATATATAAAGAGCATGTAAATGCAGATATGCCCCCTTTGTAGGGTATACCCAATCAACATTGGGTATTACTGTACATACCTGCTCAGGCAGTCAGGACAAGTTTAAGCCTTGAGCAAACAACGTCTCTACTCTGACAGATAAATAGAACTCTGTCCTCTATAATCTGTATACTTTCAAATACTTATAGGCAGACAGCAACTCTTCAGGAGAGTACATGAACTGTGGTACATGTCTCTGTTTGCAGACATATTCCCAGTATCTGAAATTGATTGCTGGCATCTGCCCAGTGAGGAAGACAATTCTACTTATGCATGGGAAGTTAATCAATCATATTAAACATATAAAATAGTATACCATTTTATTTATATTTCTTATTTCTTTTCCAGTATGGTCAAAGCACACTGAAGGCAGGAATAATCCTTATCAACTTCTTTGTAACTCTGGGCAGAGAGAATGAAACTGTCCCTCACTATAGTACAATAATCCAACAATAATAAAATAAGAATTTAAAAAAGTAATAATTAAAAATAATATAATACATAATAAAATGTGACTTTCAAATACTAAGATGATGGATTACCAAAAAACCCCCCTAATGCCTAACTTCTAGTTTGAGTTTTTTGAATGATATGAACTTTTGATATTTCTTAATACTAAGAGGAAAAACAGAACAAATGAGAAAGAGAAGGCAATGTAAGAGAAACACTAATGGCAAGAGTAAATCTAATCAGCATATCAAGAGAATAACTGCAAAAATACACCAATCATCCAGAAGGTACCTTTGTTCAGAAGAGGAAGGAAGTCAGGTGCTTTCTCCTGAAAAACCCTTTGGGCATCCTCAGCTTTCATCCATACTTCCTTTGTCTGAACTAGGAAAAAGCCTTTAATGACCATCTGTAGAAAATAAAATTTCATTTAGATTTTAAGATGAACTTCTTTGTTTTAGTTATGATTCTAATTCAAGGCATTTGCTATAACAAAGTTTCATATATACAAGAGTCTTTCTTCCAGATGGGTGCTTCTGTTTAAGAATTAATACTGTAATGCCTGCCATGAAGATTAAGGGTCAAATAAATGTGAATTATCCCTGAAAATATAAAACAATTAAAAAATGTTTTTGACTGAAACTAACAGATGGAAGCTTTAGTTTGGTACTGCTGCAATGTCCAATGAGAAGAGAATGGTTAAGTAAATTAGGGTACATTTACACAATGAAATATAACAAATAATAAAAATGGGAAAGCATATTTAATGATGTTAATTTTAAAAAGCACGATACAAACACATACAGTATAGCCCAATAATGACAGACTACATTTATGGAGCACTTACTATGTGCCAGGCAGTTTTATGCACTTTACATGTATAACACATTTAACCCTCATATGAGGTAGGCACTATTGTTACCGTCATTTTACAGATTAAAAAACTAGGGCACTGAGTGATTAAGGAACTTGCCCAAGGTCATATAACTATTAACCAACAGAACTGTGATGCAAACCCAATTAATCTGATTATAGGCTACATCAATTTAAAATTATTCCTAAAAAGACTATTCAAGATACATTATGGATAATTTTTAAACTTATTTCTACAGTTCTCTAGAGTACACATGAATTTTGAAAATAATTATGAAAGTAGTTTGCTAGAACACAAAGTCATTCAACCACCTAATTTTTTTTTTGCAAAGCCTATTGGGTTTTTAACTATAGAAGTAACATATATGCTCAACACAGACCTGAAAAATAGAAATAAAGAAATGTCAACCAAGGTGCTACCACTCAAAGATGCCACTCCCAATAAGTATATTTCTTTTCACCCTTCATTTTTCTTTTCTCCCATTACAGAAATAGTGTATGTTCATTATAAAGTCCACAGAACTGCAAAAAAGAAAACCCTGCTCTTAATCTACTTCCTAAGAATAATCACAACTTAATATTTCAGTATATGTAACTTTCCAGACTTATTCTACTCAAGGAAAAAATCAGAAACTTGCATAATGTTCTATGAATTTTCACTACTTGGCTGTGAACACTTCCCCAGTATTCTACTATAAATCAGTTTTAATGGCTGATAGTATTTTGTGCTATGGCTACACTATTCCATACTATTGCATCAAATTGATTCAAACTCAAATCCTTTTTCAGAGCCCTCAGTGCTGCCCCAGAAAAAAGAAACATACATAAAAAAGTAGCACAAAATTACATGGACATTACTGCCAGATGATGACTGCAAAGTTACTTAAAATATCAGAAAAAATCTGACATCTGTTTCTAATTTTCCAGACTGCTCATTACCACTCATTTTATAGTCAGACACATAAACTGATAAAAGATGATTAATTCAAAATACCATTACCTAAAAACAAATAATAAACTTTGTAACTATACCCATGTTGATATTTCACTGCAGATATGTGAAGAGACTCTTTCATGAAGATTTTTCTATTTTTAAAGACTTGTAAATAGTGGTAAATACCCAACTTAAATTATGCAGTACTTTACTACCAAGCAATTCTCACACTTTACTCTCATTTATTCTGTGCCTATCTGTGATGTATGTACAAGGAAGAGAGGAATCTGATTTTTAGGTGAGAAAACTGAGGTCCAGTAACTCCCTTGACTCCCTATGGAATGTGCTTTCTGCTTTACCCAGCTTTTCTGGATTTCTACCTCTCAAGTTTTACACTTCCTTTCCCCAAAAATATCATTATATGTCTAACTTATAAAAACAATGTGGAACAAAATTCTGTGATACTTCAGGGGTTTCAGAAAATCAGAGCTAGCAATCATGGTTCCAGTCTAAGCTGTCCTAAGATATTTGTGTTATGCTTTGAGAAAGACTCAAGTTTTTTTTTCATCTCAGAATTAACTAGCTTCTACATATATTTTCCTGGGAACTCGAGCTTCATTTTTTAAAAAATATGTAATTGCTCTCTTACTATGTAAGTCACTGGTTTTTCAGCACGTTTTCATATGTACTTGGCATTTTCTTCTTTTTGTTCTCTTTTCATTCCTTAATTCTGTGTTTTCAAAATTAGGGTAACTCTACCCAAAGTCTCAGGGTTTTTCCTTCTAGGCTGGAGGGCAGTATCTGCCTTTACTCTCTGCACTTTCAGTCACATTCCTGCTCCACCAGGCATTCACCAGGTTTCCCTTACCACTGAGGCAGCATAGTGGCATTGTGCTTAAGGGTTGAGATGGTGGCCTAGATTTAAATCATGGCTCTGCTATTTGGCAGCTGAGTGACCTTTTGCAAATTACTTACCCTCTCTGTGGCTCATTTTCCTTATCTGAAAAAAGGGGAATAACGGCATTTATTTTATAGGTTATTATTAAGTGAGTTAATTCACTTAAATCCCTCACAACAGTACCTGGCATATAATACATACCATGTTAAGTGTTAGCTGTTATTACTATTGTTATTGTGGGATTTTTGTTTTAAATTATTTTGTAATCCAGAAGGACATCTAAAGAACATCAGTTCCCTGGATTCAAAAAGCCATTTCGCACATCAGATACCAAAAGTTAAAAAGTCAAGATCATCTGATGGCTCATGAAGATGGTGTTTGTTTTGATGGCTTTATTCTTTAAATATGTTATACATTCTTTATGTCCACTCCTTGTTACCTACCAAATTGCAGTTTCATGTGAATAATGACATCTTTTCAAAGCTGTATGTAGATTTTTAAAAAATCATTACATAGTATAATAAAAATATTTATCTCTCAGATGTTGGATTAACATGTGATTAGATAGCTCAAAGGCCAGAAGCATTTTTTCTATATCTTACCAGATCCATAGCATGTTACTTATCAGATTTGCATAATCAAAAAACAAAATATCAAAGTCTTAAAATTATACTTCAGCTTCTGTTGTTTTGAGAAACAGACCTTAGATATACTTTGCATATTTCAGACATGGGTTTTTCTACATTGTAAAATGTATAGTTACAGAGAGAGAGTCATTTTTAGTTTTTTTTTCCCTAAAATCATCCCTTTTGACAGAACTTTTAAAACCTAAAAAATCCAAAGAGACTTGATGAGTTTTCCATTCACTTCTCTAGTTCTGGAAATTTGATTTTTAAATTCAAGCAGACTCCTCCTGAAGAACATCTGATTAATGGATAATCACTATGTCCTACTGCTGCCTCCCCACTGGAGCACCAAACAACACAGAGCCCACAACTTCTGCTACCCCAGCTCCCACTGTTCTTCTGCACCAATCTCCCCTTCATGGCAATAGAGCAAAAGAAAATAAGGAAAGTAACATGGAAGTTGTTCTCAGTCACAAGGGAGTCCAGAAGCTATCTTCCTAAATGTCTTTCCCACCCCCTAACCAACTAAAACTCCCAATAAATTTCCCCATTAAATAACTGTAAAAATTCATGCTTTACTATGGAGTCCTAACTTTTGTGAGCTTCCACGGAAATCATTTATTAGAAAGAATGGGAGTTGAGGGCAGAGAATTTTGTGTATGTATCTTCAGCCCCAGCATATACTATATTTCATCAGCTCTAAGTTGCCATCATTATAAGATGCCATACATTATAAGATGTATTTCAGATAAGCAAAAATGTGGAAAATAGATGTGCATCTATAATCAATGAAATGGTAACAGAATAGCTTGTAAATAAGTTTTTAATATATGCTCACTGAATTGAATTATATCCTTTAAAAGTTTCTTTGGGAAAGTATTTTGAGGCCCAAGCAATCATCTTACAGATAGCTCTATAGGGGGCAGAGGACTATAACTTAAGGATTGGTTGTGTTTCCAACTAGGTGTATGTCTGTTTCTCTTCTCTTTCTCCTTACCTCATCAATTAGTTTCCTGGCATTTGCAATAGTATAATCACCAGCAAATAGCACCACTAAGCATGATTCATCACTGCTCTTCTGTCTCTGACCCCGGGATACTGGAACAATACTTCTATTGGCTTCTGTGGAAATGCGGACAGCTTTGAGCTCTTCGATAGTAGGCAGAAGAACATGGTCCTGAACTACAGTGTCCTCTGGAAGGAGGCTCCAGTTGCATTCTTCTGACACAGGTGTAAAGTCATGAATGTCACTCCAGGTATTATTGAAGATGCTGAGCCCTGCATCTTTGAACTGGAAAGCTAATTCAGGGTAATACCATTGAAAACAGCCAAACTTGATATTTGTGGAAGACTCAATAATGGGTTGAGTGGCACAGCACAAAAAGACTTCCAGCTTTCTGCAATCGCGCACACGAAACTGTTGGCAGGCTAATGCACACTTGCAATCTCTGCAATTCCGGAAAAACACACTGCCTTTCACGGGTCCCATGAAAATTATGCAGTTAGTACAGTCATCAATAGTAATTGTAGCAGAGTGGTCAAAAATATAGATGCTACAGTTCTCACAATCTTGAATGAGAAACTGTTGCCCTGCCACTTTCCCGGGTAAGCGACCTACTGTCTCATCCTTCAGTCCACTGAACATGTAATCTTTAGGATCAACCTGTAGGGACAAAATACAGACCTTAAGTATTATCAATATTATTCAACAAATATTCATTGTCTCTTGGGTGCTAGGTACAATTCTTAGTGCTAAAGTCGTATGCTCCTATTCTCACTGACTTTACAACATAGTAAGAAAATGGAACAGGACAAATTTTGTTTAAAATAAATAAAAGGCATGAGAGGAAAAAAGGGCCAGAAACTGTTTTAGATAAAGGACTCAAGGACACATCAACCAAACAATGTGTGGGTGTTTTTTGGATACTGTTTCAACTTACCAGCTGAAAAGAAACCTACTTTCTTGAAACAACTGGGGAAATTCTCACACATACACACAAGATATTGGTTGATATTACAGACTATTTCAGCTCTAGCCCTTTTTCTTCTTCTAATGCTTAGTTCACTTTAAAATTCACTTTCAAAACAACTTCTGCTTCTTTAAAAACTTCTGAAATTGGAAATACACCCAAATTGAAATATATTTCTTTATCCTTCCATAAATTGATGCATGGGTCTTAGTTTCTAAACCACAACTGATTTCTGCAATATGCTACAGAAAATAGAAGAACCTGAAGGCACAAAACCCACCCACTGTATGTCAGAACTTGCATCTACAAATTTAATTCAAACATTTACTGAGCTATTTCTACAATGTAATTTTTAAATTTCACCATTTCCATCTTTAGATATTCTAAGCTGAAGTTCACATAATTTTTTAAACAGTGTGCCTGGAATCTGTCACATTATTTTTTTAAATTTAAACTGACCTCTTAAAATATAGTCACTAAAAGGCCATCTTGATATTTCCAAATTACTTTTGAATGTACTTGAACTGTTTTGCTGTTTTGTAAATATTACATTTCAAGCAAAATTATTCATGCACTTGGAAACAAGTTCCCAAAGATACAGTATATAAAAAATTGATTATTCGATTATTTACAAAGGAAAACTTAATCATCTTAATCATTAGTAAGCTAAAGTGACTTATTCAGGATTGCACAATAAATGTACTTATCCAGTTATATATAATGTACTAGAAGGAGTGCCAGACTACAGCATGAGGCAATAAAGGAGGAACTTATTTTCCAATTTCAATTTTGTCACCTATGAGCAACATGATCTTGAAAAAGGCACTTTAACTTTCTGGATCTCCAGTCATTCAACCAACACTGAACACCCAATATGAGCCATCATTTTAGGTACCGGAATGAATATGACCAGCTGTTGCCATAAAAGAAGTAAACATTAACCTAAATAGATGATTTAAAAACAACCTGGCTATGTAATAAGAGATGTCCAGAATATTCTGGAAACACAGATGAAGGACACCAGGGGTAGGGGAGATAGGGGTGTAAGATTTCCTGTACAAAGAGAGAATGAATAAGCTGTAGTTCACTGGGTAAAAGGGGTGGGAGTAAAGGATTCTCCCTACCCACATCAGGCAAAAGTGAAAGAATGAACAAAATAAAACTCTTCAAGGGAGTATGAGGAAAACAGGAAGTTATTTGTTGTTACCAGTGATACTGGAATGGGAGCAGATGAAGCTAGAGGTAGGCATGGGACGTACTATAAAGGTCAGAAGCTACCCATGAGCAATATGGTACCACAGAAGGATTTAAATAAGCAAAATGTACATTTCAGGAAGATTATTCTAATAAGAATAAGGAAAAGTGGAGCATGGATCTAAGAGGCTGGAGCAATCAGAAAGGACTGGGAGTAGAGCAGTGGTTAGTAGGGAAGAGGAAGATGCAATGACTTTGAGAAATAATGAAGAAGTAGACTGCAGATTTGGTAATTCAATGACTGTAGGAGGTAAGACAAGGATGGGTCAAAAATGATCTCTAGTTCTCTACCAGTGTTTTTCAACTTTGTTGACCACAAACCATATTAGTTAGTTCTTCAGCACAGTCCAGTACACATACTTACGAGTATCTGTGCACATACACATGCCAATGAAATAAAAGCTTCACAAAATAATACTTACCCTTATTTTGTGTTAAGCCTTACAATATTATCTATAATTACACCCACAGGTTTGATAAAACACTTCTGTGGTTTATGTGATTAATGTTGGTAGTTCAACAACCAAAAAAAAGAAAATACAGCAGGCAACACAGGTTTAATGTGGGAAGAGGTGTTCAAGCAATTTCATTTCTAGGATTTACAAGTGACACACATTTATAAAGGTCCATGGTTCCAGTTTGTTCCCTACCAAGATACTGAACTAGCATAACTGCTGGCTTCCCATTGCCAAAAATCAACTCCCAAAGGGACCAAGTGAGAAACACCAAGAAAAGAGGGAATGATGAGAAATCCTGCGGTGGGGTGTGGGAAGGTAAAATAGAAAAGGGACCTCTGGTTCCTTGCTTCTTGCTTCTTGCTTCTTGCTTCTCACCCACCCAAATCTTGAAACAATCTGCTTCCCCTACACCTGCTGGGATTCAGACCACTTGTCCAGACTTCCTTGGGAATGAATTCAGGGCAGGGCAATAGCCCTGTGCTAGTGAAGAGGTGGGAAAAACAGGTGGGGACTATAACAGTTGCTCATGAACTCTGGTGAATTAAAATCTAAGGAGTATCTTCTAATGCTGCTTCTCTCACTTAATGATTGGTCAAGTAGACAAAAAATAAATAAAATCAACAAGAATATAGATGATCTGAACCCCACAAAGAATAAACAAGAATTCTGCATCTAACATGTAAATTCACACTTTTCTTAAGCACTCACTAAAGACTTTTAAAAAAAATTTTGGTATCATTAATCTATGATTACATGAGCAACATTATGGTTACTAGAATCCACCCCATCCTCAAATCCCCACCACATACCCCATTACAGTCAATGTCCATCAGCGTAGTAAGATGCTATAGAATCACTACTTGCCTTCTCTGTGTTGTACAGCCCTCCCCGTGCCCCCCTGACATTATGTCTACTAATCATAATGCCCCCTTTTCCCCCCTTGAACCTACCTTCATACCCATCCTCCCCAGTCCCTTTCCCTTTGGTAACTGTTAGTCCATTCTTGGGTTCTGTGAGTCTGCTGCTGTTTTGTTCCTTCAGTTTTTGCTTTGTTCTTATATTCCACAGATGAGTGAAATCATTTGATACTCGTCTTTTTCTGCCTGCCTTCTTTCACTGAGCATAATACCGTCTAGCTCCAGCCATGTTGTTGTAAATGGTAGGATTTGTTTTCTTCTTATGACTGAATAACATTCCATTGAGTATATGTACCACATCTCCTTTATCCATTCCTCTACTGATGGACACTTAGGTTGCTTTCATTTCTTGGCTATTGTAAATAGTGCTACGATAAACATAGGGGTGCATATGTCTTTTACAAACTGGGCTGCTGCATTCTTAGGGTAAATTCCTAGGAGTGGAATTACTGAGTCAAATGGTATTTCTATTTTGAGATTTTGAGGAACCTCCATACTACTTTCCACAATGGTTGAACTAATTTACATTCCCACCAGCAGTGTAGGAGGGTTCCCCTTGCTCCACATCCTTGCCAACATTTGTTGTTGTTTGTCTTTTGGATGGTGGCCATCCTTACTGGTGTGAGGTGATATCTCATTGTGGTTTTAATTTGCATTTCTCTGATGACAAGCGATGTGGAGCATCTTTTCATGTGCCTGTTGGGCATCTGAATTTCTTTGGAGAAGTGCCTGTTCAGATCCTGTGCCCATTTTTTAATTGGATCATTTGCTTTTTGTTTGTTGACATGCATGAGCTCTATATATTTTGGATGTCAACACATTATCGGATATGTCATTTATGAATATATTCTGATACTGTAGGATGCTTTTTTGTTCTGTTGATGGTGTCCTTTGCTGTATAGAAGCTTTTCAGTCTGACTTGTTCATTTTTGCTTTTGTTTCCCTTGCCCAGGGAGATATATTCATAAAGAAGTTGCTCATGTTTATGTCCAAGAGATTTTTGCTATGTTTTTTTCTAAGAGTTTTATGGTTTCATGACTTACATTCAGGTCTTTGATCCATTTCGAATTTACTTTTGTGTATGGGGTTAGAAAATGATCCAGTTTCATTCTCTTACATGTGGCTGTCCAGTTTTGCCTACACCAGCTACTGAAGAGGCTGTCATTTCCCCATTGTATGTCCAAATCTTTTTTATCATATGTTAATTGACTGTATATGTTTGGATTAATATCTGGACTGTCTATTCTGTTCCACAGGTCTGTAGGTGTCTTCTTGTGCCAGTACTGAATTGTCTTGATTACTGTGGCTTTGAAGGAGAGCTTGAAGTTGGGAAGCAAGATCCCCCCTGCTTTGTTCTTCCTTCTCAGGATTGCTTTGGCTATTCAGGGTCTTTTGCGGTTCCATATGAATTTTAGAACTATTTGTTCCAGTTCCTTGAAGAAAGCTATTGGTATTTGATAGGGATTGCATTGAATCTGTAGATTGCTTTAGGCAGGATGGCCATTTTGACAATATTAATTCTTCCTAGCCAAGAGCATGGGATGAGTTTCCATTTGTTAGTGTCCTCTTAAATTTCTCTTAGGAGTGTCTTGTAGTTTTCAGGGTATAGGTCTTTCAGTTCCTTGGTTAGGTTTATTCCTAGGTATTTTGTTCTTTTTGATGCAATTGTGAATGGAATTTTTTTCCTGATTTCCCTTTCTGCTAGTTCATCGTTACTGTATAGGAAAGCAACAGATCTCTGTGTATTAATTTTGTATCCTGCAATTTTGCTGAATTCAGATATTAGTTCTAGTAGTTTTGGAGCGGAGTCTTTAGGGATTTTTATGTACAATATCATGTCATCTGCAAATGTGATAGTATGACTTCTCCATTACCAGTCTGGATGTCTTTTATTTCTTTTTGTTGTCTGATTGCCGTGGCTAGGACCTCCAGTACTATGTTGAATAAGAGTGGGAAGAGTGGGAAGCCCTGTTTTCACGAGACATAGGTGAAAAGCTTTAAGCCTCTCGCTGTTAAGTATGACTTTGGCTGTGGGTTTGTCATATTTGGCCTTTATTATGTTGA